CTCTACCACTGAGCCACCTTCCCAGCCCTTTGCTTTATTTTTTGAAGAAATGCCACAGGGTTTTTCACTGCAGGTATACCAGTTACTGTTTCTGTTTTTTTTCCCTTAACAATAATGTTTATCTCTTTTTCTTCTTTCTTTTTTCTCATAAACTATACAAGTCTCCAAGTCTGAAAGGCATTTATTTGTTCACAAAATACCAACCTTTTTTTGCCATATAAATCTGTATGGAAAACTAGTTGGGACTATAACTCTCTACAAAACATTTTTTTTGTGCTGGTTCTGGGGCTTAAACTCTGTGCCTGGGTGCTGTCCTTGAGCTATTGCTCAAGGTGAGCACTCTACCATTTGAGCCATAGTGCCACTTCTGGCTTTTTTTGAGCAGTTTAAGAGTTTCACAGAGTTTCCTGCTCAGGCTGGCTTCAAACCATGACCCTCAGATCTCAGCCTTCTGGAGTAGCTAGGATTATAGGCATGAGCCACCAGCTCCCAGCAACTTTTTTTTTTTTAATTTTATTTTTTATGCCAGGGCTTGAACTCAGGTCCTAGGTGTTGTTCCTTAACTTTTATTATGCAAAGCTGGCATTCAACCACTTGAACAACAGCTCCACTTCCAGCCTGGTTAATCAGAGATAGAGTCTCTTAGACTCCATCTGCCCAACTCCTTCTGCCCAAACAGGCTTCAAAATGTCATGTTCCGGCATTTGCCTCCCGAGTAGCTAGGATTACCAGTATGAACCACTAATGTCTGGCTTCTACCAGGAAATAATTGAGTGATACAAAGTCCTCCTTTAGGTAGCAATTTTTAATACTAATGTTTCTGAATCTTAGATTCTGTATTTGCACTAGAAAAATGATGTATAAAAGTACATCACAAACTGAAAAGTTTTATTCATACTTTTTTTTTTTCTCACATCAAAACTACTTTAATTTTCTTTCTTTCTTTTTTTTGTCTATTGTGGGCCAGGGCCTGAACTCAGGGCCTGGACACTGTCCCTGAGATTTTTTTTGCTCAAGGCTAGTGCTCAACCACTTTGAGCCACAGTCCAACTTTCAGTTTTCTGGTAGTTAATTAGAGATGAGTCTCACAGACTTTCTTGCCCAGGCTGGCTTTGAACTGCCACCCTCAGATCTCAGCCTCTTGAGTAGCTAGGATTAAAAGGCATGAGCTACCAGTACCCGGTAACTTTAATGTTTTGTTCATTAGTTTTCAATCACAAATTAAAAAAAATAGTTTTTAGAGGTATCTTTCATTTATATAATACATAGGGTCTCACTACTTAAGAAGTAATTGTCCTATCAATATGAAGCACAAACAATCAGGCTCATATTATAATTAATTTAATTGACAGTCCTGGGGCTTGAACTCTGGGCCTGGGCACTGTCCTTGAGCTTCTTTTACTCAAGGCTAGCATTCTACCATTAGAGCCAAAGCACCAATTCCAGTCTTTTCTGTTTATGTGGCACTGAGAAATGGAACCTAGTGCATGCTAGGCAAGTACTCCCCAGTCCTCTTACCTTTAATCTTTACATACTGCATATCAGGATTAACACATAAAGCAAGGTTACTAGGCAGAGTCCAAGGAGTGGTTGTCCAAGCAACTAAAGATATATTTTCATCTTCCTCCAAAGGGAAAGTTATAAATACTGAAGGATCTTGAACATCCTGAAATAGAAAGTATTTTCTAAAATCTGTAATAACAGACACATATTTAACTGATCATAAAGAGAATTAGAAGACATGAAATTTTAGGATAACATAAGCTCTTGAAAAAAAAAACTTGCTGCCAAACAAAAACAAAAACAAAACAAAACAAAAAAACACTTGCTGCATTCTTTTAATGGCTCACGCCTATAATCCTAGCTACTCAGGAGGCTGAGATCTGAGGATTGCCGTTCAAAGCCAACCCAGGCAGAAAAGTCTGTGAGACCCTTATCTCCAATAAACCACCAGAAAACCAGAAGTGGGGCTGTGGCTCAAGTGCTAGTTTTGAGCTGAAGGACAGCGCCTAGGCCCAGAGTTTAAGCCCCACAAATAACCAAAAAGAAGGAGGAAGAAGGAGGAGGAAGGAGGAGGAAGGAGGAGGAAGGAGGAGGAAGAAGGAGGA